ATGAATGGGCCAGAAGGCTGTTTGACGTGAATGGATGGGCCAGAGGCCAGTTTGACATGAATGAAAGTTGAATGGGCCAAAGGCTAGTTTGACATGAAAACCTAAATGGGCCAAAGGCCAGTTTGATAAATGGAAGACAAATGGGCCAAAGGTCAGCGTGTTTGGAACCACAGTCACTTGACTTAAATTGTGTATATATATATGTTAAATAGAAATATGAATTGGGCCCAAGGCCATTTGAAGCATGTTGTTCTACGCACCGTTTGTAGAACTCCTTTATTTGATATTATTCACTAGGCTATCACTCACACTCATTCATGTGTTTGTAGGTGAGCCAAGAGAAGTCCGGACCCATCCCCAGTGATGTCTGTGTGGAACAACAAAGGTTTTGGGAGAGTCAGTGCTTGTGTCTCACGCACGAGATCCATCTTCGCCTCTTTTGTTATGTATTTATATTCTGTTATGTTAGCGAAAACTTTGCATCTGTTGTATATAGTTTTGATAGGTTGACTTAGACTATTATGATCCTGTACGTATAGAACCTTGTGTAGTACATATTTTGTTGTGAGTTATTACTATGCACATGTATGGTTTGTTATGATGTGCCATATAAGCACAGCTCTATGGACAAAGTTTTTAATTGCTTCTGTTTGGTCCCCGTTAACTCTGTTAAAATATGTTTGGATTGGTTCGAGGCCGTAGGTAATCTCATGATTACTGGCCGGTTATGTCCTTAACCTACGGGGGTGGGTTCGGGTCATGACATTCGCTTTACATATCTCGTCATTAAAGCATACTAGTCCATTTGTCTCAACCCATGCTCAATGTTAGTGAGTGATAAGGATTGTTTCATATGATTACTTGGATAATCCATGGGATTTGATGTTGAAAACATTGTGTTATTTCCTTTCATTGATTATTTTGCAAGTAAAACAAGAGATTTTATGTCAAAAGCATTGAGGTCTCTTTTCTCAATCATTCGTGAACATGGAAGGAGGTAAAAGAAGAAAAGGTTTCAATGGCTTTTTTTGAATCTTTCATTTTCAAAGAAAAGCTTCCATTAAGAAATGATTTGCATTAATCTACTCTCTTCAATTGTTAACTTGTCTTTATTCACAAAGAGATGATGTAGGTTCCCATATATTTCTTAGGCTTGAATTTGTTCTTGTTTTGATCCCCTTAATTTGTTAATTTGTTGTGAAATATCTGTTATATATATATATATATATATATCTGTTTATGCTATTATTAAAGGTTGAGGCCCATCTACCTTCTTCTTAAGTGGTTCTTGTGAGTGAAAGAGATAGAAGGGTTGAGCACCCATTGAAAGATGTTTTAGTCTTCTGTTCTAGTTTGTACCAACCTAAATCTTGCCCAGAAGAAGAGTTCGGCAGGCTAATTTTATATTCAGCCGACCCATCTGATGTCTAGCTGGATGATTTTCCCAAGAACAGAGCAAACCGTTTCTAGGAAGTGCTCTCTCAGGTGGTTCTGGAGCTACTAGTTGAATTGTCTTGTTTATTTAGTATGATTTGTTAGATTCAACAGTAATTTGGCTAAATTTATTTATGTTGTAATAATTTCTCTACCCCTATCTTTTCTTTTATTAGTTATTCAGTTATTGTAATAGTCTCTCTCTCTCTCTCTCTCTCCTCCTTTCTTATTTGAACTGTTGTAATAATCTTCCGACCCCACGTCTTTCTAACCCTTTTATTTACTTGCTTTCTGTATAGCACCATGTCTTATTTATCACACCCATGTATTACATCTATTTTTTATGCATTCAGGTCCAGCTTGTTTTTATTTGGGGAGTTTATCATTTATGAATTAAATATATGCAGTACCCTATGTTTTGAGATGATATCCATTTCATACCTTAGTATCCAGACCTATAGATGCATGTCATGCATGTATTGTATTAGTTACTTGTATATAAGATCATGCATATACTCGAACCTATTCTTTTGGCTCAACCCAAAGTACTAGGTTAACACCTCTTTGCTTTAACATGTTGTGTGTTACTTGTCATATTCATTGTTATACCATGAAGCTAAATACTTAATTGGAATATCTTTATGAATACTAGTGGATGAAGGTTGTGTTGCTTTGCGTTGGGATGTAATTGATTCTTTTGCTTCTGAGTTTCTACATAAAGGTTTTTCAAAAAAAGCATGAAATAAAAGCATAACCACAATTAGTGACACAATCTATACTTGATTGCCTCAAATAGTAGCAATAACATTAATAATAAACCAAAATCTGAGCATATATCGATTATAAAAACCACATCATTACTTAGCAAAGGTTGATTTTTTGATCGGGTGAATGGGGATGCTCAATTAATGACCTTTCCCCCCTCATACCTAAGTTTCCGAGCCAAGATAGTTTGGTTATGAAGGACAATGGCCTTTAGCACAAGTCACAAGTTTCCTAATTTCCCCAAAGACCATAGAGACTTTAAATTTTGGTGATATAGCCCATTTTCAGCAAATATTTGCAATGAATGTGTTTTTACAAAAGTTGCTGAATTTGGTCTCTTATCTTTGTTTCACATTACACTAGTGAGACTAGATCAGGAGATTGGGAGTCTGAACTATTGGGCGCGCTTGGTTACCGCAAAGGCATCTCATACCAGTTTGGTATTGAGTGATGGCTGAGATATATTGTGGAAGTCCTTCCAAAAAGCTTTGAAAAACTTATGATTGGTTTCAATCAAAGATCTTGGAATCAATGCTTTAATGGGCTCAAAGCACTTGGTGAGCTCTGAAGCTTTGGTAAGAGCTAGCTCATCAAATGACTAATCAAGTAACTTGAAGAACTAGTCAACAATCTCATGCTCTTCTTGGGAGAGTTGTTCAAGTCTCTCTTCAAAACTCAAATTAGCAATTGACTGCTGTAGAGTTGATGCTTCAAAGAGAAGGTCCTCTATTGAAGGTTGTGATACATTGACTGTGGGGTTTACATGAATCTATACAACCAAGTGAACTTTGTTAGTCAAATGATGATTTATTTCGTTTGTTGGTTAAGGTTATGGATATACCTCCATAGAAAAAGTTGTTGAAGTTGCAGGCCCTACTAGAAGAAGCATTGAAGGTATGCCTTCTCTACTGGGACTGTGGGATGAAGTAGTTTGCACACCCATTTCAGTAGTAGTAGAAGTTTGAGAGGAACTTGCAACCTGCCAACAGTTAAGTTAGGGAACAAATCTATTTCCTTTGGAATAGATAGTGTGATAACAAGAATTTTAGCTAGGTTTCTTGAACTTACCTCGTGAGGACTTTCAAGAGGAGTAGTTTGTATCCCTAGATTGGTGGTTGTAATAACTGAAGGAATGATAGATGGATCTTGATCAACCTCAGCTTTAAATGAGGTTTAAACTACATCTAGGTTGATTCCTGGCCTAGTTTCCAATGAAGGAGATATAACGGAGGCATCAATAGTTAGAGGAAGTTGTAGGGGTGATACATTCTCCAAGCAATCGAGTATAGCAACAGAAGAAGAAGGAATATGCTTGGTAAAAGGATGTATGATACCAACTTGGAGGGTATTCATTCCATTTTGGTTGGAATCTAAATCATTCCCAAGAATTTCCGGAGTGCCAGTTCCACTGTTTTCTTGAACTTGATCTTGTGTAGGAGAATTCCTGTCGATGGGTTGCTCTTCTTTACTAGAACTAGCATCCAAGTCAACAATAGGAACATTTCCTACATCATCTTCCCTAGCATCTTTTGGCTCATTCATAATATCATCAATATCTGGGAAGTCAAACACTTCAGTAGAGCTAGGAGTAGCACCTCTGACTGGAAAGACAAGAAGATCTCCAAGAGCAATGCCAGGAGGGATTTCAGTGAGGAGACACCTTTGGTGAGGTTGTAGTACCCTCATTTTCTGCATGAATGAAGTGTGGAGGAGATAGGTTAGCTTGATCTTCAGAGCTAACTAGAGGGAACACTACTACAAATATAGATAAAGATCACACTTTTTTGGTGTGATGTATGTTTTTTAATCACACCTTTTAAGTTTTATTAAAGTGTGGTCTTTAGGAGTGTGATTAAAAATGGTCATTTTTAATCACACTTTTTAAGTGTCATTAAAAAATGCTTTCATCACATCTTTTAAGTGTGATTAATAATATTTAGATCACACCTTTGAAGCGTGATTAAAAACATTTAGATCACACCTTTTAAGTGTGGTTAAAAGCATTTAGATCACACCTTTTAAGTGTGATTAAAAATATTTAGATCACACCTTTTAAGTGTGATTAAAAACTTTAGTTCACACCTTTTAAGTGTGATTAAAGACTTTAGATCACACCTTTTAAGTGTGGTTAAAAACATTTAGATCACACCTTTTAAGTGTGATTAAAAACTTTAGTTCACACCTTTTAAGTGTAATTAAAGACTTTAGATCACACCTTTTAAGTGTGATTAAAAACATTTAGATCACACCTTTTAAGTGTGATTAATAACTAATAAAACCTGTGATAAAAAAAAAATTGATATATTTAAAGAATAATCAATATTATTTTTGCACACGCATTTGAATAATGTAATACACACTACATATTATATTTCGAATCACAACCATATATTGAATGAAATAATATCATATATTTCATAAATGAAAGTTAAATGTTTAAAAGTATATACAAAGAAATTAATAAAAAAAAAATTAACTGTGATTACATACATTAAAAAATAAAAAATAAAAAACTTGAAAAAAGTAAGTTCTTGAATTCTTTGACCATATTTTGCATCTCTCCAAGAAATTTCTGACCTGAAAAATAAAAAAAACAAATTAATTTAAAAATCGCCAGAAGCATATAAATAAACTTACTAATTAATTTATAAACTTACATTTAGATCACACCAAAAATAATGTAATTTATCCAGTTGTTAAACTGCCCCCAATCCTTTCCCCACAGTCACCAAAAATGACATAATTATTTTGATTCTCCACATAAATATCAATAAAACAGCACCACAAAAGAAGACAATATGCAACAATGCAGAAAGGATCACATAAATGATAAAATGGAATATTATATGGACAATCAAAATCATATGATATCAACATATAACTCACTAAAAACTATAAAACAAATAAGGATCAATAAAGCTTATTGGTCTTAAAAGCAGAAACCACATAGCCTGAATAATTACAAATTGGTACACCCATCGATGGAAACATCACCGTGAAAGGTTTTCCTCAAGATCAATAGTACACCCATCAAATTTCCAAATATAACTGCATGCTTAAAAAATAATTCTATGTAGACAAGATATTTTAACAGAACTGGTAAAAATGCATACTTCTCTGTTAGTACCAAACTACCTATTCATATGGGTTCAACTCTGACACAAACTGAGATGCACATGAGATCCAGAACCAATATCATCTAATGCATACCTGGGGCAAACAAAAAAATGGAAATAACAGTTAAGAGACATAGCTTGAAGAAGAAAATTCTGCAGGTGAGGAAATGAGTGAAGTTTAACCAATATCATATCCTTGTCAAGGATCTTCACCTCTTCCCCAAGATGTTCTAGCCAACACAGAACAGGGAACATATATGGTCTGGTTCCCTTAACAAACCTGAGTTACATTAAAATTCACATCAAACGGATCGAGAAATACCTATAATTAAAATTCACATCAAAAGGATGAAGTAAACAAAAGTCAATTAAAATTCACATCAAACAGATCGAGAAATACCTATAATTAAAATTCACATCAAAAGGATGAAGTAAACAAAAGTCAAACAGAATCAGTTAAATTAATTTTATTAATTCAACATTAAAACTAATTTTTGGCTACAATCTGTATTAAAAACTCAATACTACTTCAAGGATAGAGAAATACCTTGATAGAGAGTGAATTAACCAATCGATGTCTTCAAAGTAGCAGAAATCTGCAAAAAATGAAGAAGAAGATGAAGAATCAACCTATAAAAAAACTGCATCCATGACAATGTGCAGGCCAATAGAACAAAAATGTGAACTACTTATTGTGTTATTTATAGATCTACAATATATATATATATATATGAACATATTTTCAAAATAAAAAACAAACAGGTTCAAACAAAAAGAGTCATATGCACATATTTTCATTCGAATTTTAGGTTGGTAGATAAGATTAGATATATGATGCGTAATTAGTACATCAAATAATTTAAATGAAGTGAACATAAGAATATGCCTCTGTTTATTAATGGATTCCAAGTATCATTGTCAATAATAGCTCTATTGAATTGACTAATTGATAGATGAAACTTGTTTATTAAAAAGTCAAAGACGTCATCAAATATAAATCTGTGTAGGAATTTGTCAACCCAATTTTAATTGCACACCATAAGGTGGAAAAGATGGCTAAGAAAGTTAAAACAATTGGGAAAAGAAAATCAGTACATGTAAATGTTAAAATGTAAAGAGAAGGGTTGATACCTGGTGGCCTTCTTTTACAAGAAGTCCCGACAAAAACACACCAATAAACTGAGTCCCTTCCATTATCAGGATTTTCATAAGATAATCATTAGATATTGAAATGCTAGAAACAACATATTCTGAATAATGATCATCATCCATCTAGAAAATACAATAAAGTCAATTAAAAAATAAGATGAAAGTTGTGATATCCAACGCTGATGAAAATTCTCGAACAAGATTAAGGTCTATACTCGATAAAACGAGCCCATAATTTATTCATCATTCTGAACAAATAGGATTTTGGAGTTAGTTAACTAAATCTCACATACTTACTTGGGGAAGGTAACAAATAAAAAAATGGGAATAAGCATCACAGAGTAGAACTAGACAAAACCCCTTATGCATAACAACAAATGTTAACAGAGCCATGAATGATATGTATAATTCTAAAATTATTAAAAATTATAGGATGGCTAAAGAAGAACTTGACATAAACAAGGGGATTTATATTACGAATTGTTGAAGGTCACTAGAAACATTGACTACAAACTTGAGAGTGACTAGAAACATTGGCTCGCTCACCCTTTTCTTCTGTAGCTTCATCTTTAAAAAGCTTCTCAATCTAAAAAATGGCCCAAGTAAGAACATAAGCAAAAGGAAAAGAAAGAAAGAAAGGAGCAGATTTCTCATCATTCCATTCGATGTGTCATTGTCTAACATACCGCCATTAGAAACAAATAAAACAGACAAACTTTGAAACCCAAGTGCTACCACAATCAATATCTGAAACAAAGAGAAGGAAACACAAGATATTAAATCAAAAGGCAACAAGAGAACTTCACAGGATATTAAGTTTGTGGAAGATAGGAATTTAGAGATTTACTAGTTTAATTTGCTATAAGTTGCTGGTAAATGTGAAGATTGCAAGTTTATTACATATATTAAAAAATGAAAAAATTTGAAGCACAAACTTCTTGAATTCTTTGACTATATTTTGCATCTTTCTAATTAATTTCTGACCTGAAAAATGAAAATACAAATTAATTCAGAGACCGCTACAAACACAAATTGCCTTTTAGCAACTCCAAAACCAAACTATCAACCTATATGGGAATCAATCAACTCTGCTGTGGTTATGCATCAACTGACTGTATATGTGATGATCAATGTCAAGCAAGCATGACATGTTAGAGTGACACACATTCACAAGAATTATTGCATGAATGTTAAATCAAATATCATTATACTTAATCCCTCCATACAAAATTTTCCGATATGTAGTGATATGACATTGAATGTGTTTGTAACAAAAAACAAAGAAGACTTTCTACTATATAAAAGTAAGCAATGTAAGTGTAACAAAAAAATTATACATGTAATGTTAAGATTGATGTCCAATGAAAACAGCATCATGTTAGCAAATATAGAGGCGAATTGTAAGAGTGGATATGTCCTTGTGGCTTTAAGAGCCAATCATACAAATTAGAAATCACCGTAAAACAACATATTGGATTGTGGGTTTTGTCAAAAATATAGGCTGGGCAACAAATACTACTGCAGTCTGCAGATTCATGTCGTACATTGAAATGTCTTCCAGAAGGTCACAGCAAAGTCAAGCTGGAAAACAACTCAGTTGCATACTCAGATAGACTCTAATTGCTTCTGTTTCTTCTTTTGATCCCCGTTACAGTCTCATTTTGAGCATCAAAGAGCTACTAGCTAGAACCTTAGATGGGAATTCAAACATATATGCGAGAAGCCAACTATTATGCAGATCAGATCACCAAGATACACAAGTTCTTAATTAGCCAGTGGAAGCTGTTAGTCCAATTTTGGCAGCAAATTCAGTTGGGGTTATTAACATAGTCTGGTCTGGGCCTTATCCCTAATGATAAAAAATTCTCAAACATGAGAAGACTTTTCTTCCATGTAACAACTGAAATCAAGAAAAAAATGTCAATGTAGTAAAGAAACATGAGGGAAAAGGTAACAGCATGGTGAAGAAAACACTAGAACAGCGCCAATTAGGTGTTCAAATGAGTGATGGTATAGAATAGCCAGGCCATCAACCAAAAACATTTACTCTAAATTAAAAATTCTAAAAGGAGAGGGGCCATACACACATGACATTGATAATAGAAAAACATTTAACAGATACGATGCTTTATCTGAATGAAAGGCTTCTGGAAAAGAGAAACCGCATAGCAGAATTCATCTTTCATACTCCAAATAATAATAAAAGGAAAAGAATAGTACTGACAAATTGTAGAATAACTTGACAAGATGATAAACTTCTTAGGATGCCCAAACCAAATTGATCAGAAGAGTTGAACGAACCCATGATGTGGCATGTGAATAGTCGACAACCTAAACTGGTTCGGTATTATCTCAGCATCATAACTACACAACAAGATTTGGTCTAACTGTACTGTGTGGGCATTCTGGTTATGTAGGCTCATGATCCGTGGTATTAACAAGCTCAGTTGCAACATTGTAGAATATTAAAATAAGTGCAATTTAAGGTCTTACACTTTAAGCTATGGCACATCAAAATACACATGCACAATTGCAAACTTAACTTACGTGTGCTCCCTCATCATCTTAAGTTGGTTACCATCCAGTCCCCACACACGACATGTACAATCCTTGCCAACAGTGACTATTAACTGAGTGAAGCCCCATGCAGAAGAAAGTTAGTTCCTATCCGCATTAAAAAGACAGAAAATATACCAACTTTACATATAGAATAGCAGAGAGAGAAGCTTTATATTTGGGAAAACATATGAAATGCATGACTAAATTCCATGAAACCCATGTTGTAGTGAAATATAAATCCTTAATAGGTGAAGGCCAAATTGAAAAGGCCTAAATTCACTTCACCCCATAATATGCCATCTGGTTTAGAAAAACAACAACATTGCTGTAATGTCTAAAAGCTTCATCATTGGAAAAATTATCACAAGAATTGTGATAACATCAGAAGTTGAACAACAGTTCATATCATTGATCGTATTCACATCTAAATGCTGTTATGTGACAATGAATTGGCACAATATTCAGTTATAATTACTTGGCAATCATAAAGCCATCTCTGGAACAATGGAAACAATATTCCCATTGATGAAATCAGACACCAAAAAAAATGGGAAAAACTATTTAATAACAATTGACCATAGAATCAGTGGACAAATATACTAAATTGCTTTCATTTGCAGCAAGCCCTAGTTTCAGTTTTGACCAATAGCTCAGCATTGCAAACAAAATTCCTCCCCATTCTGACCACCTCATATTATATTTGCTGACATTACAAAATATTTGGAAGAAACCAAATTCTAACCATTAGTCATGGGAAAAGCATTTCAGGCACGCCCTAACCAACCACAACAATATCATCAAAGTAAATTCAGCATAATTCTCGAGCAATTAAAAAAACATAGAAAAACAAACATGGAAATTACCTTAGTGAACACTAATAATTGACATAATCCTCATAGGTAAATAGAACCCTTTCAAAAGAAAGAAGCAAGACAACATCGATGAGAAACATTTTTATCTGGGTATGGACTTGTGTTGGTAGTTTGTATTCAACTTATAATCATGTCTATGAGAAAATAAAAAATCTTCAGTAGAATATGAAATCAACAAGAAGGAAAAAATTAAACCTAAATTTGAGATAAGAGAAGTGTATATTGATCCAATCTTTTGGTTTCTGAGGGAAAAAATGGAAAATATAAACAGAAAAAGAAATCTAAATCTTGAATTCATTGAGAGGAAAGTGAAGAAAAGAAATAAAGTGAAAAACAGAGGTAGAGAATGAGAGGAGAGTGGGGTGTACCTCAAGGCTGAACCTGGAGTTGGACTGAACCGGCAAATCTGGTGTAGAGTTCTCATCAGAGAAGATTGAGGGGTCGATTAAACATAAATGGACAGAAAAAATAGGGCAAAGATAAACTGTCCATCTTTCGATTTCGTTTCTAACGCATTAATGTGCCTCGCCCCCTGATCTTTCTGATCGCAATCAGCCCATTCGAGATCCCCTGTTATGACGAGTCCAGCGGTAGTCCTTTGTAGACAAAGGTTCTGAAACAGTTGAGGGGAGTGTAGGGTCTGGATTCGAACATATGGCTTGTGGAGGGATTGGAGAAGATAGAAGATAGGGTTAAGGTTTTGGAACCGACGACGAGAGTGGAGAAGACGAAGTAGACGACCGATGAAGATCGGTGAAGAGAATAGGAGAAGAGAGAGAGGGTGGCGAGGGAGGAGGTGGTGGCGACGGCAGTGGTGGTCACCTGTGGCGCCACTAGAGGCGAAGATGTAGGAGGTGGAAGAGCAAGAGTGAGAGAGAGTGAGAGGGAGTTTCGGTTTTGCGCCCGGGGGGTGGGGGGGATGGCAAAAGAAAAAAAAGCGGGAATGAAAAAAAAAAAAAGAGGGAGACAGGGGTGGATAAAAAAAAAATAAATTTTTTTTTTTTTTGGGTGACAAATAAAATTTAAACAATAAAATAATGTGTCTAATTTTATTTTATTTTTTTGGTGACGCGGGTTGCTGTCGTTAAAAAAATTTATTTTTTGTTAAAATAAATTTTTTTTCAAAAAAAATTATTTTTTGTTAAAAATATATATTTTTTTGTAGTTAATGAATTTTTTTTTTAAATTCTTTTTTTTTAGTTACTAAGATTGAAAATTTATTTGTTTCATTTTTATTTCAATGAAAAAAATATTATTATTTTTTATTTGGTAGAAGTAGGGGTAATATTTTAATGAAAAATATTTTTCACTAAAATAAAAGTTAATTTTCTGTGGTCAATGAAAAATGTTTTTCTACGGCCCATTTTTTTTTATTACTAAAAATCATGAACTAATTTTTTGTGGTAGAAGAGAAGGAGTGGCAGTAGTGGTGAAGGTGGTGGATAAGAGATGATGGTAGTGGTAGTGGCGGCGGCGAAGGAGAATAGTGGTGAAGTTGTGGTAGTGGTAGAATAGATGAAGTGGCAAGGGTGAAGGAGAGGTAATGGTAGTAGTGGTGGCAGTAGTGGTAAAGGTTGTGGATAAGAGATGATGGTGGTGGTGGTGGTGGCGGCGGTGGCGAAGGAGATTAGTGGTGAAGTTGTGGTAGTGGTAGAATAGATGAAGTGGCAAGGGTGAAGGAGAGGTAATGGTAGTAGTGGTGGCAGTAGTGGTAAAGGTTGTGGATAAGAGATGATGGTGGTGGTGGTGGTGGTGGCGAAGGAGATTAGTGGTGAAGTTGTGGTAGTGGTAGAGTAGATGAAGTGGCAAGGGTGAATGAGAGGTAATGGTAGTAGTGGTGGCAGTAGTGGTGAAGGTGGTGGATAAGAGATGATGGTGGTGGTGGCGAAGGAGATTAGTGGTGAAGTTGTGGTAGTGGTAGAGTAGATGAAGTGGCAAGGGTGAATGAGAGGTTAGAGGATAGAAAGTGGCAGTAGTGGTGAAGGTGGTGGATAAGAGATGATGGTGGTGGTGGTGGTAGCGGCGAAGGAGATTAATGGTGAAATTGTGGTAGTGGTAGAGTAGATGAAGTGGCAAGGGTGAATGAGAGGTAATGGTAGTAGTAGTGGCAGTAGTGGTGAAGGTGGTGGATAAAAGATGATGGTGGTGGTGGTGGTGGTGGCCAAGGAGATTAGTGGTGAAGTTGTGGTAGTGGTAGAGTAGATGAAGTGACACGGGTGAATGAGAGGTAATGGTAGTAATAGTGGCAGTAGTGGTAGTGGTGGCAATGGTAGTAGCAATGGTAGTCGTAGAGGTGAAGTGGCGACAGTGGTAGTAATGGTGGTAGTGGAATGACGTTTGCAGTATTGGTGAAGGTGGTAAAGGAGATGGGTGGTGAGAGAGAGAAAAATGAGTGAGAGACAGATAGAGGAGAGAAAGAGAAAGAGAAAGAGAGACAAAGACAGAGTGATGAGCGAGAGAGAGACAAAGTGGTCGCTAAAAATGCATTTTCTTGTAGTGGATAGATAAATCGAGAGGGAGCTCAGTAAATGGAGAAGACAGAAGGGAGAGAGTGAGCAACGCGAACATAGTGGGAGAGAAAAAGAGAGAGAAAGAGAAGAGAGAGAGGAACAAAAAGATAGAGAGTGAGAGACAGAAAAAAGATAGAGAGAGAAGAGAGATAAACAAGAGAGAGAGATAAAGATGAGAGAAGAGCGAGAGAGACATAGAGAGAAGAGAGATGAACGAGAGAGAGAAGAGAGATGAGCGAGAGAGACAGAGAAAAATGAGAGAGATAGAGAGAAGAGAGATGAGCGAAAGAGACAGGGAGAGAAAAGAGATGAGAGAGATAGAGAGAAGAGAGATGAGCGAAAGAGATAGAGAGAGAGAAGAGATAGATGAGTGAGAGACACACACAGAGAGAGAGAGAGACAGATAGACAAAAAGAAAAGAGTGATGAGTGAGAGAGAGAATGAGAAGAGAGAGAGGAAGATGAAAAAATGGGTGAAAAGATATAGACAAAGAGAGAGGGAGAGAAAAAAAGAGCGAAAAGAGATAAACGAGAGAAAGACAGAGAGAGATAAGCGAGAGAGATAAAGAGAAGAGAGACAGAGAGAGATGAGAGAGATAGACAGAGAGAGAGAGAGAGACAGACAGACAGAGAAGAGTGATGAGTGAGAGAGAGAGAGAAGAGAGACAGAGACAGAGAGATAGAAAGATGAAAAAATAGATGAAAAAGTTTCGTGTCTAAAGCCTCATTTTCTAGTAGTGAGTCATCTCTATCATTCATGGGTAGAATAGAGGCGCGGATTTGGGAATTGTATATTTTATATAAAAATCAAATTGAAATATTTTATACAATCACACCTATTTAGGGAGTGTGATTAAAAAGTAGTAATGTATATATAATCACACTTTAATTAAAATGTGTGATTAAAAAATATATAAATAATCACACTTTAATTAGAATGTGTGGTTAAAAAATATCTATATAATCACACCTATTTAAAAAGTGTGATTAAAAAGTAGTAGTATGTATATAATCACACTTTAATTAGAAGGTGTGATTAAAAAATATATAATTAATCACACTTTAATTAGAATGTGTGATTAAAAAATATATATACAATTACACTTGTTTAAAAAGTGTGATTAAAAAGTAGTAGTGTATATATAATCACACTTTAATTAGAAGGTGTGATTAAAAATATATATATATAATCACACTTAATTGAAAAGTGACATAAAAAATAAATATTATCACACTCAATCAAATTAAGTGTGATTAAAATATCAATCTAATTTTTTTTATCACACTTCCAATAAAAGTGAGATCTTTTTTTTTGTCAAAGTGTGATCTTTAACTATTTTTGTAGTAGTGGAAGATAAGTCTTTTTCTTGTCCTCCTCTAGGCAAACAAATGTAATGTTAGAAATAAACATACACAAAAGGAAAGTAGTAGAATTGAGAAGTAAAGAGATTAGTTAAACTTGGTACAAAGTTTCAATAGCTTTCACGGACTTTGAATGGCTGGCTTTTGGGTGGAGGGGCCAAAGATATGGCCAATAGGAATGTCCCAAGCTGATGATGATGAGGAAGTAGTAGGGCAAGTTACAGGGGGGGTGACTAGTTCAGAGATAACCACTGTTAGCCTAGTAGAACTATTTTCTTCTTCTCTTCTCTTGCTTTTTCTTTCAGCAAATGGTTCATACAGAATGAAAGAAGCACAAAAAGTATCCATTGGGTTCTTTTTTTTTTTTTTTTTTTTGACTTGATTTTAAGAAAATTTTCTAACCAAAAAATTACTAACACATAACCAACAACAACAATATATGAAGTGTGTAAAATGTCAAACGCCCACAGTCAAAATGGTAGGGAGACAATGTCAAATGGTGGATTTGGATTCTAGACCCTAGTTGTTCCACAAACTAGCCATTCCACAAACTAGCCCTTCATCTTTCTTTTTCTTTTTTCTTCTTCTTTTTTTTTTTTTTCTCTTTTTTTTTTTTTGATAATGAGGAACCCCCTGACCCCACCTTTGGTGAGACCTAGATGTCCTTGCTTAGAAATGCATACACACAACAGTAAAATTGCTTTAGAGGATGTGTTTTGTTGGGCATTTAAAAGTCAGTGACAGGGTGAATGTTCAGACCTAGAAGATTTTCAGACTCTGCTGCTACAAAATAGGAAAGATTTCCTCTAGGGTGTCTAAGTGAAGAACTGTAAAATTAAAAAATGGAACTACTAGAAAAAGCCAAACTACAAGGATATCCTTGATACATACCTTATTAAGATGGGTTCATATGCAGTGATTAGTACATCAGTAAAAACTTCCCTAAGACGCAAATTTGCCAAATACACCTGCAGGAATTAATATTTCAAACCTCATTTGGCAATTTGAAACAAAAAACCAGCAGTAGAGAAAGAAAATACAAACTTACCCTAACTGTATTTTGAGCTTCCCTTCCTTGGCCTTCCTTAGAGATGGCCTAAGCATGAGTGTTAATAGCAGTTAGTAACCAATAGTGTATCTGGAATGCAAATAACATGTTTAAAGATAGGGAGAGCAGGGGAGGTACAGCAAGGTGTGTGAACACAGACAAGCAAGCATTTTTATACACGATAATCATCACGCTTACAATTTGAGGTCACTACACAATTCCAGTAGTGCTATTTTGTTAAAAATACCTTACCAACAATTTCGCGGAAAGTCATCTTATGGACTTGTCTAGCAAAACTAGGCATTACTATTAAATACAGCATGTGATAATGTTCTCCATTGCCATGACATGCTAATAAATGACAAATCAATAGATACAAAGCCTCTGCAAAATAGATGTGGTTCAATATGTATCCTTTACGGCATTAAAAAAGAAAGTTAATTTTTAATCCATTTAAAGCTCTATCACCGATATCCAAGATCATCTAAACACACTGATCATACAGCCTGCACGTAACAGAGTTGGTCAATACCATGTAAATATTTTCTTCCTTTCATTTAAGCATCACAATTAATTAACAAAGGTACTACTGTGATTGGTTTCCTTGACAAAAAGCTTTAAAAAAAAATTTTGGTTCACAAGAACGTTCCCTCATGCCTAGTTCTTCACCTATCATTCTTCCCCACATAATACAATCACAAATGGTGTGACTGTTATACAATTGCACTGCCAAAGGAAGGAGCCTACAGAAAGATTAGAACAGTGAACAGCTTGATGAGTATTCTGTCATCACACATACACTTACAAGTTAGGAGTCCCAATTATAATAATAAGCCCTAAAGCACTAACTTTTTCATCCTTGCAAAGTCATTAAAACTTCAAATGATCTAACAAAGTAGCACCAGGCAATATTAATTCAATAGATCACCACCATAATCAATGGCATGCAAATTTAGAACCACGTAATACATAAAACAAAAGAATAAGAAATTCACCAAAACTTCACTTCATGTAATTGATATGCTATTTTTTTACCATCTGGCCAACTGCAGTAGTAACAACTGCAGGCAGGTGTCTGAAACGCAACCCATCAAACTCAATCACTCCAGACTGCTCAATTATCTGAAATAACAAAATAAAAGGGTAGTTAGATACCAACAAGCATAAATCATAGGCACTAACAATCCACAAGGTTGCAATCCACCTGTAAAGTTTACATTCCTACATTGCAGAAAACATCAGTGCCATTTTTTTAGAGTTATACCCTGCTAAGTTATGCTGAGTAATCCTCAGGGCATCCCAACAACAAAAGATTCTCAGGACAGTGCCAAAGCATAAACTTAAAGCTCATCATTAGTGCTTCCTTTTCTAAGATGGACAGTAGATAATATTGTAATATTATTATTATTATTATTATTTTTACAAACCAATAAGAAAGCTTATTACAAAAAGGAAACAGAATAGATTTGAACAATGGCCACGTTCAATAACAAAGACATTTAATTTTATGTCAAGCTCTTATTTTTTTTTTTTATAAAACTTATAATTGGCAAATGCCGAAAGCCATCCAACTATAATAACAATCCAAAGTGTCATCGCATTGACATGAATCCTAATTTGACAATTCCATCATGTCGAGCATCCTTTTGGCAAGCATGAGATTCTATAACCATGACTCAACGTCTGAAAACAAAACACGGAGAGTTTTCAAAGAATTTCTCTAGACCCAAAAAAGTGAGAGAACGACCACTTTACTATTATGCTACTATATATGTAACTCATTGACTCCCTTTTACTGTATATATCTCCCATCTCCTTCCCCTCCCTCTTTGTAGAAAATCCTTAAATGGTCAATCTACCGACAACAAATAGAAAGGGAAATAATAAATTAACCACATCAAGCGGTTGAACGTGACCAAGTGTACAAATTACAACCATGTTATTTTCAAAATGTTTTCCCCAATAGTTCATAAACAATATGCGAATATTAATGATATGTTTCTCTGACACTTAAATTAACTTAATAGGCACTCTCAATGCACTACAATCTTACTCATGCAAATACAAAAATGCAAACCCAAAAAATTATATGTAGATAAATCACATTTTCATTAAAAAAAAAAAAAAAAAACCCGAAAAAGAAGAGAAAAATGTGAATGTTGATTAGTTACCATGACTCCCTCAGCATCTTGTTCTGTGGCAAGGTCATGAAGAAACCAGGTTGCACTTCCATTGTCAGCAACATCATGTTTGTGATCTAAGAGTTCAAATATCAGACTCTCGTCACGCGCAGGGTCCACTAAAACCTCCTTCAAACAAGAATTGAATTACAACAAAAAAATCAATCAACAATTGAAACCCAAGAAAGTGATAACCATAGATAGCATCATACAACTGATAAACATCAAATTGAAATAAAAATGCATAAAATAACAAACAAACAAACAAACCTGATGATCAGGGACGGGCCTAATGTTGCTCACATCCTGCAAATCCAACACAAGTTCGTGGGTGAATTGCCTTTGTCTAGTGTTCAACTATTAACGAAGCCTTAAATATGTATACATACATAAATACTAGCTGTCTGCGCACATGCCATTGGAAAATAATAATAATATAAGAACAATAAATTGAGAGAGCCCGTCCAATTTACCCCAAAATTTACTATCTGTCCATAAGCTTTTAAGGAAAAAAAGAACATTCCAATTAATTAGGTTATCGATGCAGTTAGTAATTTTTTTGGTAAATTAAGCCTCTCTAATTTAGCGGAATATTTACAAACTTTCCTATCCTATCCTATCCATGATCTCAATTTCAACTCTCATCCTCTTCATATATGACTCAATTTTCAAGCCAGTGATATTAAGGCAAGATTATCTCATATCTTCTTTAATCATCAACTAATCATACCAACTAATCATACCCATTATCTTTGAGAATAGGAAATTCCCATATTTGAAAAAAGTAAAAGATACGAGAATCGAACACAGTGATACCATAAGCGTTCGCATCTATATATTTTATTATAATAGCATAGATAGATAGCTAAGAAGTAACCTGAAATCGACGAGGGAGTGTGGCGGCTATTGCGCCACCATACAATCTACGCTGTGCAAAGTAATCTCGAGACATTTACAGCGGTGGAGAGAAAAGACGAGAGATTCCTGTCTGTTTTGTTTCTTTTTTGTTTTTGAACAACGCCCCCTGTTCGTTTGGAACCTTCCATTTATATAGTCAAAATAGACTATGCTTCGCTTCCACGCCGTGTGCGCGTGTAGGAAATGGGATCAGTGTAGTGTCTGTATTTGAGGTGTATTATAATCTTATTTTTATGATTTAAATTGTTAATTTTGTAGGATTTATTGAATATTTCATACCTATCAAAAATCATATTAATCGAATATCAACAACTATATCGATAACTAAAAAAATAAATAATAAGTTTTTTTTTTTGAGAAATAACATAAATAATATGTAATTTGATCATATAGTTATTGATATCCGATTAACATGATTTTTGGTAACTATGAAGTACTCAGCAAACCCTACAAAATGAACGGTTTGGATTATAAAAATAAGGTCATAATCTACCTCAAATGAAAGCTCACTACTATATTTTTAGCACAATAGTAACCCATTTCCGCGTATCACCGACTTAGCTTTTTGCCTAAAAACAAAAGAACAAATAAATAAATAAAACAATAAAACAAAGGAAAAATTAAAAAAAAAACATGACAAACACAGTACAAATGCCAACACTGGTAGGGATGTCAATTTGAATCCGGCCTGACGGGGGCCCACTCTCGACCCGAATTAGAGCGGTTTTTTTTTTTTCCTGAAAAATACCCTCGACAGGCCAAGAATGGTATTCGAAAATGAATCCCCAATAATTTTTAGGCCAGAGACGGTGATACGTTTCCCAGCCCTGGCCCCGTCCCCGTCCCCGTTTCCCCCCAAATAAAATTATTATTATACCCCTTTCTATATATGTGTGTATGTGTGTGTGTGTGTGTGTGTGTCTCTATTTTGTTGACTCATTTTAGGGTTTGGTTGACACTCACACAAAACACATTACCTCTCTCTCTCTGCTCTGCTCACACACAGTCGTCGACTACTGCTCTTTCACCGCTCATCGTCGATTTTCAAAGGGTACTCTCTCTCTCTCGCTCTCTCGTTAAACTACTAATCGATCTCTTTTTTCTTCTTTCAATTTTGATAGATTAATCCCAAAATCACTGCTTTTTCACTCCCTCTCCATCATCTATTTTCAACGATTTCAGTTTCGATCTAGGGTTTTGAGTCAACTCGTGCTTCGCTAGTCAAAAACCAGTTGGTTTTTCTGCTACTATATTTAGGGTTTTATGGATTAGGCTATTGTATGACATAGATGAATGTAACAATTTTAGCATAACAATATAACAACTTTTATGTGTTGAAAAATGAGTCTCAAATCAGTTTGTGAACATCATTTGTTTGAGACCCTTTGCACGTTAGAGTTAAATTTGAAGAACTGGAGCAGATGCTGCAATGTAAGTGTCAATTTTTGAATTTAAAGACATGGAAACAACTGGAATTGCTATTTATAGATCACTGTCTGTTCGGGGATTTTGTGGGGTTGGGAAAACCCAAACCCTGTTAGGGGTATGGGACGGGGACGGGGATGAGGACGAGGACGAAGGGGTGATGGGTTCCCCGCTGAGGATCGGGGGCTCATGATTGGAGCCGCATATGTTTGGTAAAGAGAATAATCTTCTCCTTTGAGAAGAATCAAAAATAAATATGGAAAGTATTCAATTGGAACATGAAAACATGACTAAATGGGTCCTATCGGGACGGAGAGGAAGAAAGGAGGAGATTCTCGAATGAAGAAAAGGATCCAATGACTTTGAAATTGAACGAGGAGTCCTATGAAGTGAAAATCTCATGTACGATTCTGTAGAGTAGCAGTAAAGGTGACTTATCTGTCAATTTTTCCACTATTACTCCCAAAAAACAAAACTCCGTCTCACGTAAAGTTGCCACAATATGATTAACCTCTAACTCAATCAAGATATGAGCATGGCCCAAACTCCCATTTTCATCTTGGGATAGGAATCTCCGCAATAATGCAATAAATCATTGCAACACATTTGGAACTTTTTTTTAACAATAATTTGACTATCTAATTAATTATACATAATATATAAATCATTGTTAAACACTACTTAAACTACCATTTGCAAGAATTATTTGCAAAGAATTTTATGTTCTTAAAAAAAAAACTATGGTATTTTTGAGTCATAGGTTCTCAATTTTAGACTTAGTTTTACCTCTACATTTTAATTTATCATATTTACACTTTTTTTTATAAAAAAAAAATTCAAATTTATACCCTTTACACTAAATACGTAATCAAGTTATTATATGGTTACAATGTCTGTTACATGTTGTGAAACACAATCTTCATTATTTTTTAATTTTTTTTAATTATTATTATTATTACAATTTCATGATTGAAATGATAAATATATATTTTTGGTGTTAAGGGTGAGAATTTAAGACACGATAAGATAATACGACTCGAACCGTATATGAATTACCTGGTTAGGATTGACCATTTCCTGACACGAGCACGAATGTGACATGACTCGATAACACGAATATTAAACAGGTCAAATTAGTGTTAAATTTATATAACACCAAATTGATATGAATAACCCGTACAATGAAGAATCAGTTACACATTTTAATATTATTTTTACTAAAGAGTATCATTACATTTTTTAATCTCTTACGTAATTACATCCAATCTATTAAAAAGTATGTAAAATGCAATTTTAAGTTTAATATTGGTTTTGTTTTTGCTTTTAATTGAATTGAATGTATTTTTTTGTCTATTATTTAAGTTAATCTAGTAACAAATATAATAATAAAATATAATTTTTATAAATTAAGAAAATAAAATTAAGTTGAAATCAAATATTTTTATAAATAATTTCATTTAATAGAGATTAGTTTCATTAAATTTAACTTGTGAAGAAATTTTTAATTTTTTTTATACATTTGATATTTTTAGTCCCAACACAAATCGGACATGGACCGAAAATAACATGACACAATAAAACGAAATAATAAACAGATCAGACCGGGTCGAGTTAGTGTTGAGATAATTTTGACACAAATCTGAGATAACACAACACGAATATGACCACGACCCAACACGACACGACGCCCATCCTTTCACTCTTTTTAATGATATCAACTTTATAAAAATTAAATATATCTATATCTATAAAATAAGGGAGAAGGGTTTTTGAAAATGTATAAAAATGTATCAGAGACACATTTTCTTTTAATGGTTGAGATGAATCTGAGATGTATATCAATGGTTGAGATTAATGGATGTTCCTGCCCAACACTCATCTCCCTAAGATACAAATGATTTGCCTCAATATCTACCATCTGTCTCCCTATCACAAATGATTTGCCTCTCTATCTACCCTCTATCTCCCCACGTTCCCTCTCTATCTCTTTCTCCATATCTCAACTTTTGCCTCCGATTTCTTTGTCTACCCTCTCTATCTCTCTCTTCCTCTTTGTTCTTCTTCTTAGATTTTAAACATCTTTTTTCATCTCTTAACTTTTGCCTTCATCAAAGCTCTCTTTGACTGTGGGCCACTCTGACCTCTCTCACCGTTGTTCATTCCGACTGTGACATCACTTTAGTTGCTCAGCTATTCATTAGGGGTGAGCATGGTCCGGATTGGAGGTAAAACCAGGACCAATCCGTTATTTACGGTTCCTGAAAAACTTGAACCAATCCAATCCGTTTAAATCATGGAACCAATCCGAACCAATCAATTTAAACATAGATTGGATCGATTTACGACCACGGATTCACATAATTAAATAATAATAAAATATATATATATATATATAACAATTTAATTTCATAAAAATATAAACATAGCGCTATATTAGTTCCACAATAGCAACATGTCTTTCTATAATAGCGACATACTGTTCTAAAATTTAAACAACCATAAGAAAATTAGTTTCATCATAAGTATTTAAACCATTACAAATTAAAACTAAAAACTAACAAACAAAAGTAATAAAAGAAGATATTATGTTGGTTTAGGTTTGAGTTTAGGTTTTATACGGAATAAGAGAAGATACTATGGGGAGGATGTATAATAAAAATATAGACTATTTGTATGCGGTCCGGATCGGTTCCAATCCGGAACCGTGGAGTTCAATCCGGAACCAATCCGTGGACTACGAATTTTTAATTGTTCAATCCGGAACCGAACCACAGATTCAAAAAACCAATCCAAACCTATCGGATTGGACTGGACTGGATCGGATTACAGATTTCACGAATTTCTTGCTCAAACCTACTATTCATTACAGTAATTTTTTTATTTTTGCTTTTGTCTCTCCTTCTTTCTCTCTGTTTTTGCAGATAGTGCTGTTTTTGGTTAGTTTTATTTGGAATACTTGGTTTATGGACATTTGGAATATTTGGAATACAGTAAAATCGAACATTTTTTTGTTCATATGATTTATATGAAACAAAGTTGTTTAGACAATTTTTTGGGGATTAATCTAAACAGCTCTGTATTTTTATCTCTGTTTTGGGTCAGGCAGTTTTTAAACCCTTAGTTTGTTGTCATGTTTTTTTTTCATCTTAGTTTGTTCATCATAGTTTCTTTGTTCATCTTAGTTTTTTGTTTTCTCTTATCTTAGTTTCTTTGTTCAATATGTGTTTGATAAAATGACCCAATAAGGCATGTATTGCAAGTGTTGATAGAATGACCCAATAAGTCATATTAAATTTGTTCTAGTTCGACCATAAATAAATGCTCATTGGAAGTGCCACTATATACACCCCAAAAGTTTTTTAACGCATCCAAAGTTTTAATCGCAGTAGTTCACTTAAATTTATAATTAAACATCACAAAATTTTATACATACATAAATACTAGCTGTCTGTGCACATGCAATTGGAAAATAATAATAATAATATAAGAATAATAACAAAAAGGAATGCACAAATAGTATGGATTATCAACAATAAGTTGAGCGAGCCTCTCCAATTCACCCGAATATTTACCATATGTCCATAAGCTTTTAAAATAAAATAAAATTAACATTTCAATTAATTAGGTTATCGATGCAGTTGGTAAATTTTTTGGTAAATTAGGGAGGCTTCATAAACTTATTATTTTATCAAACCAATAAGACTAGGAAGTCTCTCCAATTTATCCCAATATTTACTAACTGTACTCTCCATAATCTCAATTTCAATTCAACTCTCATTTTTCTCATACATGACTCAATTTTCAAGTCCAGTGATATTAAAG